GAACAATAAAAAATAACTAGACTCTTATAAAACACTTTAATTAAATCTACAATAAACCACGACATGGGAAGTAAGAAGGAAACATTCTTAGTATTAGATATTATGGAGAAATGGAAGACAAGATGATAAAAAGCAGATGCAGAAAAGAGGAACGTGTCTAAGAGAAACGGATACAATAAAGAATACATCAAAACTTCACATATTAGGGAATACCCAACTAAGTGGAGTTCACATAAACATGCGCAATAGTAAACTAATCACATTCCAAACAACCAGATTTTCGTTCATCATACAATCTCATTCAACATGTTTTACCCGAACGACGCATTGAGGCTTACGCATTCCCATGAGCAAACCCGGCTGGGAAAATCGCTCGTAGAAATACGACAATGCCACAAACTACTATGATTTCAGTAAACCTTTAGATAAAATCTATGTTTGGGATGCGTTTCGCATCTGTCAAGTGAGAGAAAGGATGCTTCAGGACTGATCTGTAATTACTTCCAGTTGAACTTACTGAGGAACTACTCTCTCCGAACTAAAGAAATCTCAACTGGGATATAGAAGACCCGTCTGGGTGTTGACACTTGCCTCATCTCTTTCCTTCGGATGACCAGAAGTATCACGCTGATACTGCCTTTCCGGAGGAAAGGAAGGGTTGGAAAAGGTCGGTCTCAAAAGTAGCACACTCCCTCCTGCCCCACGGTCTTCCGATGCTGGCGGTATGGGTCTTCTCTATCCGGCGTTAGAACAACCAAACCTCAAAACAACAACCCGCGTGTTACGGGTCTCAAGCAGATGTCCCATGGGTTTGGGGATCACAAAAGTCTTTTTTTGAGGTACCTTCAGGAGGAACAACCTTCCAAGATATGGGCAGCCGAGAAGCGTCAACAACCCTCACGCTTCCCACTAGTGCACAAGATGCAATCACATAACCTATCCTCCTCAACTCCGTCTCCTTTATAGCCTGCCGCTCCTGATACTAGTATTAAGCCCCATACACCTTCCAATATCTCACTCTGCGACCAGTGAGATCAGTGGGTCGCAAAAACGAAACTGGTGGGGACGTTATCCACATTAAGGACTACTCGACCGTTATTTAGGGTTATGAAGGATACTAGGAAGAGAACGACTGGTAGTGGAGACCATCACCAGAAAGCGTAAGTCACTGATAATTCCTCAGGACAGACGGTGAGAATGTTTAGCAAAAGACTTTGAAGCTCAGTTTAACTGGTCCACAGTAGCAATCCAGTTACCGAGCATGCAGCCCGGACGTGAATAGGACGTATATGTAAGTTTTCCGAATCTCTTTGCAGTTAAGAGGGCTGTTTCAAGCCTGATGATATATGGGTCAGAAGTAATTGACGGTTCGCTACCTGAACCATTTAGGGATGGAGGCGGGGAATCGCTAATTAGACCGACGGAGGTACTGAGTAGTGTATGGGAATCAGGGGTAGTGCTGTCAGACCGGTGTACTTCGCTGATCATCCTAGTCTATGAGAAGGGCAAGAAGTCTTCCTCGAGAGAACGAGCGTTTCACCAATACAGCTCCTTGGGTTATTATGTGCAAGCCCGATCACCACGTCGAGGTACCAGCTATCGGTCGAGACAAACTATCTCACTTAGCAATCTGCGCCAACCTCTATATTGCTCACATGGTGATCATACCATACGCAACCAATGCTACGAAGACACCTGTGGTCAAAGTCTGTAGTCTCTTCATATCTTCTACTTTTAACGACCATATCTCACAGCCGCATAACGAGACAGAATGGACTTCAGTGCAGTACGCTCATGTTCATTATTAGGTAGTCGGCACCAGAGATGATGCAGCTGTCAAAAGCCAAACGGATCGTCTGTATCGTATCCGAGTTCAGATTTCTTGAGTTCGGGCTCATGCATTTCTATAGTAAATGAAGTGGTAAATGCATTCAACCACTTTACTCGCTATCGTTCACTGGTATTAGTTACAAATTAGTTCTGAAGCATTATTTCAGACTTGACAGGTGTGAAAAGCGTGTTTGACGTACAGATTTTGCTCAACGCGTTCACAAGATCCCACATTTTGTTGGCGTCTTCAGCAAGCACGACTACATAGTTTGGGATACTAGAGGTCAAGAGTAGACCGTTGGATGGTATTAAGACCGAAACAGTCAACATTATAAAGTGGCTTACGGTACGGTGGGTCTCTGAGGCGAACTCATGCAAATGGTTAAAAGAGTAATGGCAGTAAGGTGATTCCCGTGAATAACCACCATCACCCTGTTCTAATGCTGCCTTTCTCATCGAAGTAGTAGATTAGAAACGATTGGCTCAAGAAATAGAACACTACTCCATACCCTTCAGTATTCCAGTGGCCGTGGTTAGGGTTTTCGTTAATTAGGAGATAAAAAACCAAACCTTGATCCCAAAATACCATGTGACTGACATCAGACAAATGTCCTTCAGGCTCTACAGCACAAAATAAACCTTTTCTGTTTGATGTACTTCACAGGAATAACCCATGTTGTGGAAAGCCAGAAGTACCAGCCACATACAACGTTTCGATAGCAGGTAAAACCCAAATAACCCAAACTGCCTTGCTTACTTTTGTCTCCACTTTCTGAAGCCAAAATGCATGCTACTGTAAAGTTTGGCAAACTGAATCAATGTAATTTTGCTCGAGGTTCGATGTTGGTTTTGTCTGTCTGATATGAGCACTAAACCCTCCTTCGACTTTCCAAACTTATTACCCTGAGATCATTGCTAAAGATATAAGGCAGTGATACTCCATTAAGGACTCGTGAAATCATGTTGCCAATTCGACAGTGGAGGATTCATGTTTGGACCCCATACCAAGTTATACACGGGAATCACTTGCGAAAACTCTGAAATATGCAGTCATGGCAGTATGCTGCGTTTCTGAGATGCGCATAGAGAATTTGAGTGTGACTGTTCACTTGACTTCATCTGGTAAGTATAGTAAATCTGAGAAATTCACATTGCGGATATCTCAGATCCAATGGCTAGTTAAAGTGGTCGCTATGGCGAAGATATTGCATTATGTTCCATAGCAGAGAGTACACTTCTCGATGGATGGCAATCAACAGTCGTCTGTGCGCTGTCCGAATGAGTGGATATGTAAGAAACGAAAACGACGCTGACTCTCAGCGATTCTTTTTCGTGGTCGTTGACCACGTACCCATCGACTACAGTTCGAATGATACAGAGGATGACTTCTACTAAAAACTATCGATTTCCATACACAGAATGAAACGTGAAGCTATAACCATTGTTCGGACCTAGTTCTCGCTTTTGTTCGATAGCCAGTTTTTCTGCTGATAATGGACATTCGTATGTGTGTGAACTGCTCGCATGGGAATGAAGCCGAATAGTATTCCATTTAGATAATCGTCAAATGAAAATACTACCACACGTAAAAGTGAGCTTTTATGAGAACAACCAATACCTTTACTTCTTTCTCCTTTCTGTCACTTTTCTACTTTATTATCACTCTTCCTTGTGTGGAGTGTGGCAACTTGAGTCGATGCGCTTCTGTGCAAGTTTTTTACGTTAATACCTGTGTCTACCAAGACCTTGATAAATTGGAAACAAGGTCAAAAATGTAATTTAATGGTCTGATAGTTGGATGGCTAGTTTGCTCCTATACTGTTTGAGCTTACTGAGTGTGCATGCAGCTTTGGTGTAGTACAAGATTTTTCGGCACATTGCTAAGATAATTTAGTTATGCTTCACATGATTACCCTCGAATCATCGTGTCTCGACATATGAAAAGCTAGATAGATTGATAAACATGAAAACACGTGAAGACAGTGATAGTGTGGTGGGCACTGCTGATCAGAATGGATATAAGCAGTGTATGTTGAGAGGGCGTATTAAGAGCAAATCAAGATAGAATCAGCAAAGGAAATGAAGCGCATAGTGCAAATGACTGTCTTAGTGGAAAGTGTACAATATTTGATGACTACTCTACAAGACATCAATAATAAACATTCCTTCCTGTGTCTCAGTCTTCTCGTTTCCTAAGTATGTGTTGCATTTTAAGTCAGATCGAAGAAGAAACACAGCTGAATCTTGCAGGTAATCGACTTAACGGGATTTTGAAAGATATGGATATTATTTATCGTCAAAATCCTCACCACACTGAAAACAGCAGTGTTCAATATCTAAGCACCGTAGACGGAAAGGTGAAGCAATAGGAACTAATAGGTGATCAGGTTGAATCGACATTTTTTTAGTATTTTAGAATTAGGAAGATACGAAGACGGATATCACAGTAAACCTATGAAATAAAGCATTAGAGTTTTTGAAAACTACACTCCATCCCATCTAAAGTAGTTTATAAACAATTTTAACCAATTATGCAATGAATAAAGCGAATGTGTTATCAGTCGCCAAATACTCACTGTAACGCAATGATCCAGAATATTAAAATCCAAACAGTTCATGAACAACAAATCTAACTCTCTGTACAGCCTTTTTAAACCACGTCAATCACTCAGTTTCATCAAAAGCAAACTAATATTAGCTAGTTTGAATGAGGCCCTCAATTTTGCTGTTAAAAATTAATTCGTTCAAAACATTAATACTGCCTTCTTTTGCGAAAAAAGTAGAATTTACTCAACCATACTGACAACATAAGACTAAGTACGATGTACAACAGTAAGTCAAAATCTATCTACTTAGTAGACTGTAAAACCTAAATTTTAAAATTCTAGTTTATTAATTCTTCTAAAATAAAATATTCGAGATTTCTAATCAGGAAATATTAGTAGCTGTAGTTAAGTGGACTATTAAATTTAGAGTCATGGCTTCAAACTTACTTCATTTTCAACAAATATTTACTCAAATTTCAACCGAAACTTGGTACAAAGGAATAAAACCGAAAAGCACAATACATTAGGCCACTGTGATAAATAGTCAAATAATTTGATAAAACATAAGTAGATGAGACAACTATCATGTACGAGCACGAAAGAGAAATCCAAAGCATTACAAACCTTATTTGGAATGACATTATAACCTGTAGATGAAGTCATCCTATAATCTGCACCATGGATTCGATTAGCAGGAGGATAGTGCGCCTTGGGTTCACCTCCTCCCGAATGGAAATTAGAGCCATCGATACGATTTCCCTGCAATTAATAAAAGGAAGGAATACATTAAGTGTGCCTTATATATATAAGCAGGTTTTTAATGAAAACTACTCTTTTGATGAAAATAACACGTGCAAAAACATCCACTTTTAGACCTTCTTCAAGTATTACAACACGGATAAACCGGAAGTGACAACCATGAGTGAATGTGATTGAAGAATGTGAGAAGTAGGACGTTTCACTGGGCGAAAGTGTGCAATTCACATGAATTGGTCACTCGATAGTAATCAGTATTGAAAGAAGCAAAAGACAAGTATGCAGGAAGGAATGTTGATTGTCAAGAAGTGAGACAGTAGTCGTTAAATATGGTACACCTTGCAAATATGATTCATTTCCTCTTCTGCTTCTTTCTTGATTTGGTCTGCATACGCTGCCTTGTCTCTTGCGTTTCTCTCCGAGGAATCCTTACCCATTGCCGGTAATCTGCCATCCTCTCAACACATACTACTTATAACCATTCTTATCAGCAACGCCCACTACAGCATGACCATCAAGTCATAACCATTTAGTACTGATAGAGGTTGTTCAACCAAGATTGTTATTTGGTCGCTAAGCTAAAAGATAAGACACAGCAGTGCACGGTACCTAGATGTCAGATGAATAGTTAATTGGTGGGGTGATCTCTGGGTTTCTTTACTACTCAACTGTCTAGGCTAAATGCCAACCTATTGACGGTGTGACAACCGAAGAAAACGAACAGTCAAAACGCGGAGCAACTATGCCCCTAATCTTAAAATAGATACCGGTACAAACCAATTGTGACCACACTTCTTGCATTTGATAAATGCAGAAGGTATAATAAAACACTCCCATGTTAAACCGTAATGATGGTTAACGTAGCAAGATAGTTACTTACCGAACTAAAACTTATTAGATGGCATACAGGTGAAATATCAATCACTTGATATAACAAGCGAAAAGAGAAATTCCGAACAGTACATTTATAATAAACCATTCAACGTAACCAATTAACATGAGTTTCTCGCAAGTTAACCAGATCACCAATGTTCAAGCACAGTTCTCATCATTACATACATACTTTGGAAACTCCACAAGTGAAAAAAAAAATTAATAACTCAAATGGATTTTTAAAGAATTTTTACTTCGAGGGATAAAGTTCTATCACTTCTGGTATCGTTTTAAAACCTGGTGGATACTGATTTGATCTATCCATGAAGTTATTCCCAAGCGATTATAGATCTTAGAATTATTTCATCAAAGCGAATTCATCTATGATTAAGATGACTTAATCTTTTTTTATAAACTGGGATGACCAATAAATGATACCTGTTGCAAGCAACAGGTTTTAACTAAAGAAAATCCAACTAACACTAGTTGGTCAAGCTCGAAATTCTGGCCAACTATTCTTCAAGAGTTTTCGGGAGGAAATACATCAGAAGTCGATGCTTCCTGCTGCTCTGATTTTTACTAGTATTCAGAGCAGAGACGAAGAGCCTTTGTTGTTGCATTCAGACCATGAAAGACAACTGTGAAGTAAATAAACTTCAGTTAAATTGTCGCAATGTCCTGTAATTATTAGAGCTACCAGTCACTGCAGTTTGTCGCTAACAGTTAACAACAACCATCTTTTCCGGACCAATCTCCCCAGTAAAGCTTAAAGCTAACCAGTTTCGTCCGAAGATGAAAGCAATGACTATTCGGTTATCTAGGTTCAAGGTAGTTTCCCCACCATTCATGGTACTCGGAAACAGACAGTATGAACCTTGCAAATACACTCAGTTTTTACACCCTTTTTCAATGAGACTAAAAGCTGGTACAAACAAACAATTGATTCTTTGCATAAACATAGGAAAAACAGAAGAATTCACGGCATTAAGTGAGCACGGTTGAGTGAATAACCACATATGGGAGTTACATGCACTTATCACGAGTGCAACACGACTTCATGTTTTAAGGTTGTTTTTTAAGTGAGGTTTTTGAGAAAGTTAGGGGCGCCAGTGTGTAATGATAAAGACCCGTTGAATAAAGCATGAATTGTATTTAATGCCCTCATTTTAACATCGGACAACTAGAGAGGAGAAAATGTCATATTTAGAAGATAATGGACAACAGTGAACAAAGGTGAGAATGGTTGCAATCGACTCTTATGCTACTACAAATGTTTAGAAAATGACCTTTCCTGTCGGACTACAACAGGAGATAGCTAGGTGCTCTTACTCCACAAAAGTTAGTAAAATTACCCAAATAGTAATATTCATTACAATACAATTTATATCATCAGAAAATCTTATACCATTCCCAGCATCCAGTGTGCGTTGCTGTAAAATAAAAGCGTTGAGCAATTATATGGATACTTATAAACAGATTAAGCGAAGTAGAACGCTACACAAGGTTGCATTGATTCGATTTGTTACACCTCACAAAGACATAACGAAGACTGAAAACAGTAGGAAGAAAGTACACAAGGATGACACAAAAGGATAGTGTCAAGAATTCCAAAGAAAATGTAGAGTGTAATTGCCATCTATTTTGTGTCACGCCACCGACCACTGTTTCTTTACTTCTGGGTTAGCCTACGCTTTTGCACACAAGCCATACCGAAAGTGAGTAAATACACGCATTGGTGGAAAATTGATCTAACAACCCTTAGCTTTCTCTAACCTAGGCCAAGCTGTGTACCATAGATATTACCCACACATGCGTAATATATGCCTCAACCAAGTCGGTCAATATTGACTTACTTTTGTCAAAAACGATGTCTAACCTTGCCACGAAAAGCTCTAAGAAACGAGAAGCGCTTCGCGGAAACTTACAATCGGATACCTTTGACTTCGTTAAAAGTCCACTTCGTCATTTAGCAGATTACAAAGCCACCCCTCCATCCCAACCAAATGGAGAGGCACGATCTTAATTTGGAAGTGATTACCTATTAAAAGCGTAGTTCGTTGAGTTGATGGGTCTTGAGTGACAACCGCTTTAAACACATTGCACCCCAAGATTATGAAACATCGCACATACCGACAGAACAGTGTGCGCATATTATTCAATAATAAAGTTTATGATTCCAAATACCGGACAAAGTCATGATTGCTTTCGTTATATTATTCCGGACATATACAAACACCTCTAACCTGTATTTCTGATTTGTAATGGTTATTTAACTGAGATAATAAAATATATAGACAGACAAACACATGGAAACATATATGATAAATTAGACTTGTTTTTGATGTGTGATAGCACCAGGCTCGCCAGATCGATAGATTGTGGTTCATTGCCTAGATCGTTGAACCAGCAGAATATATTATCGTCTACTCTAAACTGAAATAACGCATACGCATAACCAGACTTACGCGTGCTGCACTATCAGGATGATGTCCACTAGGTATGTGGGGTTGGGGCGACCGTCGACATTGACCTGAAAACGGGCGATCAAAACGCTGACGCTTAGGATCCGGTTCATTAGCTCCAGCAGCTGGGATACGATTACAGTGAGATCTATTGAAATGTTCGTTTCCATACGCGTGTGGTGGAAGAGTACGATTATATCCATGGTAAGGATGATTCATTTGTACATTTTGAGGACCACTGGTATGACTTCGATTATGATGATTTGCGTGCTGAGGAGCCATTTGAATGGGATTTGGATTTGTGGAACTGTAAGACCTTTTCTCTGCCTCGATTTAAAAACGCAAAACAAAGTAGGTAGGGACGAAGTTACTACATATGTCTTTGAATGAATATGCCTCGAACACAAAAATAATGAAGGGCTTGTTGATTAAACTACCATATAGTTAAGGTTGAAAGCAGTAATGTGCAATATGTAACATTTCAGGTTTCATATTCTACTTTATATATTCAAGTATTTGCTTGCCACACCACTTATTGACAAATCACAGTTGCATTAACGCTATATTCATAACCAGCTTTTAAAGCCTAGTCAACTCTAGAAATCAGCATATTAGTTCCGAGCAGCGAACCTTCTCCAACATCGTGCATGCCCAGAAGTATGCATACCACACGTATGCCTGAAGATCGAGTTAGGAACAGTGCTGCTCGCTTATGTACCTTTTTTCGTTTTCAGTATTTTTGACCCTAAATTTCATTTCATATTCTGTTGCATTTAACAAGTTCTGCCATGGAACATGAGTAAGTTCCAAAAAACGCCAAAACGTATGCAGTAAATTTTTCTATTTTCCTAATTTGAGGTTTGTAACACCTAAATGAACTCATGAAATTTTTAAAAATTATCACTTAAAAACTTTTTAAAACTCGCATCCTCTATCAAATTGGTCAACAGGCTTCATTGGTAGAGACTCTAGCAACTCGGGCCATGGATGTGTGCTGAGTTTGTGAGACACTCATACAGGACCCAAGTGCGGTTATTCACCTGGCCAATCTGGCGAATCCGCAAAAATTCACCCTTCGAGTTTCTGGAGACTCCATAGCTCTGGCGGTCTTGCACGTGTAGGTATAGCATTAAGCACCAGGGCAGAAAACTCACTACTAGACTGGATCCCAGTTGATAGTCGCCTCTGCGCTCTGCGGCTGAACGACAAAGTGAGAACTAACAGGTATAGTGAAACTCGCCGTTGTCTCTTTGTAATCTCTCCTTACGCACCCACTGACTGCAGTCCGAATGAAGTGAAAGACGAGTTCTACCGTAAACTGTCTAACCTCTTCTCGAAAGCCAAACGTTCGGACGTGGTGGTTGTTGCAGGTGATTTCAACGCACAGGTAGGTTAGTAGACTGAGTAAAACAGAAAGGCACTTAGGTGGCACTTTCAGAGTCCCGGCTGAACGGACAGATAACGGTGATAGCCTACTACAACTACTGTGCTCAGATAACCGCTTATTTTTAGCTAGCACAAATTTCAGACACAAAGAAAGACACTATCTGTTGTGGCGTCCACCGACCTCAACTCAGAGATGGGCACAGACAGATCACATTGCTATTAGTCGTCGCTGGAGAGGATCGGTGGAAGACTGTCGCTCCTTTAGGAGTACGTGTTTGGATAGCGACCACGCGTTGGTCCGAGCATGTATATGCTTGCGTCTCAATGGACGTAGAAACAATCTGCCAACTAAAAAAACTACGAGTGCTGCTGGACAACGAAAACACCAAAGCCGTGTCCAGTGAGAAGTTGGCTAGACAGTTATCGGAACAGAAGACTATCACTCATCCAGAAGAAGCTTGGTGCCATCCCCAGTCAGTCTGCTGTAAAAGCAGCGCTGAAGACCGTAGCCGATTCCAAAAGAGTGGTTAAAAACAGTCGGTGGATATCAGCAGCTTCTTCCAGACTAGTGGATGCACGCGAACCCATCCCTGCCTGCAGGCTCTGAGTACAATGAAGAGCGAGCACAACTTTAAAGTAGATTGAGAAAAAGTCTACACAACGACCGCAAACGGTGGTGGGCAGCGAAGGCCAAAGAGATGGAAAAGGCGGCGGCGATTGGTAACAGTAGACAATTATCTAGACTTATTAGGAGACTGAGGGGAAAAGGTCAACAACAGTTAGTGAGGCTATAGCAGAGAAGGACGGATCTGCGACTCACTGGCAGTTGAGACGACTCGAACGATGGCCAGAAAACTTCGAAGAACAGTTTAACTGGCCTCCAGCCATCATTACGGTGCCCTTTATCCAGTCAGATCCTGAATGGGACATTGAGATAGGCCTCCCAACACTAGCAGAAGTCGAGAAAGCGGTAGGTAACCTGAAACGAGGAAGGGCAGAAGGACCAGACGGGCTAGGCACGCTTGCCGACGCCCGACACTAGCCGTATTTCTCGGCTTGAAGGCGGCGGCATTCGACTCTGTTGATCGAGAAGTCTTATGGCAATGTCTCTCACTGAAAGTCGTGCCGAGTAATTTTACATCACCTTATTGAAGTCTGTCTACTCGAACACTTGTGGGTGTGCTAGAGCCTATGGTGAGAAGTCGGATGTACTGTGTACGTCGAGTGGTGTCTGTCAAGGGTGCCCACTCTCTCCATTCTTATCCAATTTTTTCATAGATAATTCTTATGGAGGTCTCCCTCCTTAAAGAGGTTGACCTAATCGCAGATTTTTTGTTAGACCTAGAATACACAGACGACATAGTTCTGTTAGGTGAAGACGCTGACAAGATCCAGTCTTTTAAACACTTTGAGTGGCAATTTGAGAATGTTTGGGATGTGGTTCTCACCACCTAAATGCAAATTGTTGCTTCAGAATTGGTCTTCAACGGTGCCCAGCAGCAGCTAACAATACAGAGTGTAGTGATTGAGTGTGTCGATCTCTTCACTTACCTGGAAGTACGAACAGACGTGGTGGCGGCTCAGTGGCCGATGAATCTCTGCACGGATACAAAAGGCTCGATTGACTTTCGCCAACCTACACCAATTATGGCGCTGCCGTAATATCCCATTGTCTATTAAATGTCGCGTGTACTGTACAGCAGTCTGCTCTGATCTACTGTATGGTTGTGAAACATGGCCATTGAAGATAGAAGACATGAGAAAGCTACAGGTGTTTGACCACCATTGCCTTTGTAGCATAGGCCGTATACCGTGGTGTCACCACGTGAGTAACGCAGAAGTCAGGTGTAGAGTTTTAGGAAGAAGAGGTAAATCAGTTGACGAGGTTGTGAACCTTCATCGATTGAGATGGTTGGGACACGCACTACGTATGCCCAGTCACCGATTGCCTCGTCACACAATGTTGCCAAAAGAAGGTTCAGACTGGAACAGAGCTCGAGGTGGCTGGACTAAAACATGGCATCAATGTACGCAGTTTTTGACTGTTGGTTTAAGCCATGTAGGGGGATTCAGACTAGCCGGCTGGGTCTGTAAGACAAGAACCAATGGTTGGAGACTCTAGGTTATACGGCTCAGAATCGTAGTCAGTGGCGCACATACAGACACATTATTGTCATATTAACAACGCTGTACCGAATCTCACCATTTTCTCATTCTTTCTTTCGCTTTTTTAGTACTTTATATTCCTTTTGACTGAATTTTCTTTTCTTCATCTTCAATGCCCATTCACTTGATGTGCCTTATTCAGCAGCGTACTGAAATGACGTAATCATCATGGGAAAAGCGAAGAGGATTTAATGAACAAACTTGACCTGGTTTCGGAGAGCACCACCGAATATAGGTTCCGCCTTCGACCAGATAAATGTGACTTTTGACTAGAAAGAGTTAACTTCCTTGGACTTATTGCTGATAAGAACAGAAGATACTCAGATCCAGCCAACATGGGTGCGATAAAACATATGCCACAACCAAAAGATGTTACAACCCTACGTTCATTCCTGGGCCTAGTAAGTCATTACAATGCATTTTTACCCGATCTTCATCGCCTTCGCAGCCTTTTGAATGTGCTATTAAGGAAGAATGAAAGATGGATTTAGTCAAATGACTGCCAGGAGGGATTCGATAAAATTAAGTCCACTCGGGTGTGTACTTCACTCACTACGATCCATCACCCGTTGCAGTTGCATCTGATGTTTCAAATTATAGTATTGGTCTGATTATGTCGCACGTTTTCCCAGATGGTTCGAAAAGGCTATCCCTCATGCCTCCCGCCCACCAACGTCGACAGAACACAACTACAGTCATTGAAAAAGAAGCCCTATCTATTACCTGTGCAGTCAAAAAGTTCCATAAAACGATATATGGACGACAGTTCACCTCACTGACGCATCACAAACCCTTATTAACAGTGTTTGGTTCAAAAAAGGTGTTCCAGTTTACACTGCAAGTCCCCTTCAACGGTGAGCTACAACATTGTCGGGTTATGATTTTAGCATTCGGTACTAACTTACAGATAATTTCGACTGGGTGGATGCTTTCTACCGACTAATCAGTTCTTATCACTCACCAAAAGAAGACACTGGCTGCAATCATGGAAGTTGAAATTCGACAAGACCTAAGAGATGGAAGATATTGAAGATATAAAAGCTGCTACTGGAAGATAGACGTTTAAAGCTGTTAACAGGTTTCTCAAAGCTAAGTGGCCAACGTTCCAGTATACAGAAGACTCTAAGCAATACTACCACCGCCGCGACTCATTGTCGATTGTTGAACCATGTGCCATGTTTGGTGGAAGAATTTTTACACTCCAGTATGTATCATGTATATGACGTCCAGAATTTACAACCTTTTACATTTAAGTGTTTGTTGGTTCCCTTCTGTTCCTAAAACCATCAGTCCACTTGAAATGGAATTCTTCTACGTTATTTAAATTATCATATAGTGTAAATTGTGAGCCAGGATTTCTCACTTGTGAAGTGGCCGAACAGACGGGTATATTTTCTCATTTCCTACTTTTTCTAAGCCTACAGAAAGCCTTAGTAAGACATGTACGTATTTCTGCACTAATTCCAAAGTCTTTGTCATTCTTAATTGCACCTAACCTCCGACTATTATTTATCCTTCAGGTGGATTTATTGTCTGTGGAACTCCCAGTGTCATCATCACACTCGAAACTTACAATATTATCAGTAGCACCATGTGGAAAATTCCTGAAGACCACACCATCAACAGTCTCTAGGATCAGAGAAATAAGTGATTTGAGACAGGAGTTGTACAGTCAAGGATACACAGATTTACCGCACCGTTCGTAAATTATAGGAGTTAGTCCAATGTACACTTAATAGGACCAACTGCAACAACCATTCCAGTACATTCCCTCTGCAACTGGGAACCTACAGTCTGGTCGACCGTATGAGGACTCTTTGCCAACTGTAACGAGAAAGCACTACCAAAATGAAAAAGTATGTAGAACGCCCAATAAAGATGAACGCGTAGCAAAGATTGAACTCTTAACAAAACGTGCAAAAACGTTAAGGATGGGAAACTCAAAACGTAACACTTGATTCCACGCAAAAAACAGTGAAATCTATCCTGGAATACTGGAATACTTTCAGTCATAGTTGGCTTCACTACCTTTGTTATGGAGGGCACAACAGAAGGCAAGGGGAATGCTTAAAAAATGAAATCCCGATAACTATTGTAAGTGAAGTCATATTACGCTTACTTGGCAATACGCTATACACAGGCAGTGGGCAGCCAGTCCACTTGTGTCAGTGTAACTGGGCATTTCGAGGCTTCAGCTCTAAGCTAGTGGCCGAAATTGTCGAGTTATTATACAAGAAGCGTTTAGGCACATTGAGACAATCCCATGTTCATGAAAACTAATTTCTTCTATAATGTTTCATCTTTTCCTTGCTGCTGGGTTTATCCATCTTTGATTTTATTATATCAAGCCTTGAATATATATAGAAAAATATATTAGGCATCGTTCAAGAAAGCGGTGGACTATCTACACACTTATCACACCCGCTGCCTGGATATTTTTCTGATCTCTCAATAATTTAACTTAGTAAAGTGACCAGCATCGATTTATGATGTTATAAAAAGGTGCATCTAAGCATGACCATAAAGCTTTCAAAAGTGAGAGGAATGACTATAACTGTGGGAATAAAATTTCTGTATCTCAAATACACATCAATCTGATGCCGTCTTACAAAGAAGTTTTTACATGAACCCTAAAGCTTACCTTCCAAGAATCGGTTCTTTGCTGAGAATCTGGGGTAGTTTTCTCGGCGGTTCTTGAGTTCGAGGAGGGTTGTTGATAGGTTCGTCCTTCGATCCCTTTGCAACTTTCGGGACTAAACACTATAGTCAAGATTATAAAACTCACTCGAAGTGAATTGCGCAACTGCTCCCTAATTTTCAAATCACACTCTTGAAAAGTTCGGGTAAACTCATCAGCTATTTTGGTCACTTCCTCGCGAGTCAAAGAGGGGGAGAATACATGATACCACTCTCCGTTTGATGACTGGATATCTGTGCCATTCCACTTAGCCGCAATGTAAAGGCTAGATGCAGCTATTGCTTCTGCCGAATGTCGCAACACCAAGGTAGTGAGATGCAGGATATTAGTGCATATGTAATAACTGGTGTGAGCTATCTCCTTTGGAAATTTGTTAGCGCGGATCGCTTTTACGAGCAGAACATGTGGCTGTTTGACTTCAAGGGTGTGAAACCCGATAACCATAAGAATAGTGGCTTCCAAAGCATGTATGTTTTGCACTATCCTCTTGAATGCATCTGAAGCCTCATCAGGAGCAGGTCTCTTCAGGATGTCATATGCAGCTTTGATCAGGAAAGAGAGCTTTCTGGAGAAATCTTCCGTCTTGCATGCACAGTAAAAGGCTGCTATGGCAACTAAAATCGGTTTGATGGTTTCCGGAGAAAACACTTCGTAAAAGTAGTGCATATAATAAATGCCAGTATTAATGACCACCTGGGTCCTGCAAGAGGCATATAATAAACTCTACCGACCAGAAAACCTACGTTTGTAGTCGAGACCCAATCTCTTGAATCAGGCAGGCGCACTGCTGACGACGTGCTAGATGAAGGTTACAGCCCGCCTTGCATTGCTCCATTCCTGGCATACGCGCCAGAACGTGGGTGACCTTGAGAAAGTTCAGTCAAATGTTTAACAACAGGAGTTTCAAATTGTTGGTGTAAGAAAGGCTTCCAATTAAATGACTTCCGCTGCTAAAATTTGCTGACCGTTAGTCTCTGTGTCTGAAAAAAGATGTCATAAAGAAATAAATAAGCACAGGAGAGGCGGCTACTCAGTCAGTAAAATATTCGGATTTCATATTTCTTGTTTGGAGATGAAGAGCGGAGCCTAAATTATTCCTTTCATAATAAACCCTTGTGATTATCCTTGCTATCTTCTAAAGTAATCAGTTGGCAACCTGGACACCACTTCTTCAGGGAGACGGCTCCAGGAGTTGACCACGCGTCACGAGAACCAGAGCTCTACGAAGACCACGTTCGTCCTTTGCTTTTGTACTCCTTTGCAATCTCACCTGAAGTGACCCAGCCTTGTGGGAGGGGAAGGGAAAGATAGATCAGGTTTGATTTCGTTTCTGAGGTTCCTGCATAGCATTATCAGATCTCCCCTTTGTATGTGATGGATAAAGGGGAGAAGTTCAGCTCCTCATGTCAATCTTCGTAGGGCGGGCCAGCTATCACAGAAATCATACGACTGGTTACTCGCTGAACTCTTTCCAGAAGGCTTAAGTACCTAGAGATCAAGGACTCTGTCTACGGTTTCCTGGTGTAGACCTAGCTGATAATATGCATAATATGGTGTACATTTCACAACTTATTTTTGCAAACGATCTACCCGGTACCAACAGTGTCCTAAAATCACTGGCTGCGACCAGCCAACAACGTGCGATAACCCTCATATTATAGCTAGTTATGAATTCTAGGTCACCCTGGGTCAGTAACAGGGGCAGAGGGGTCTCATAAATATCGTTCATGCTGCCACCTGTATGTCCCGTGTGCATGCTCCTGCATCTACCTGAGTTGACGAGCACCAGCCATATAGCCGACCAGTAATCAAGCTACTTAGTCTACCCGAACTGCACGTACATTCGAGTCGTCCCTGATTTCACCGCAGGTTTTCAAGCCACCGACGCGGAGAACTACAACTGATTTCGTGATATTCTAAACCCCATTTACACATAGGAGAAACAGCAGGTAACCAGGTCTCTGTCTTGCAACATGTCACTCTCTACTGATTTCTAACACGGGGTGAGTTTTTCGCCCCCAGCCAAAAATGAAATCTGTGATCCATGTAATGGATCGTCAATGATTCCTAAACTTTCCAGTTTCCCAAGAAGCCTGGGGTGAGGTACGTTGTCGAACGCCCTACTGAATGACATCTACGGGTGCCCTATCATTCCCAGACTCAACTGGCCTTTTTCTGACTGTGAGAAAGTTCGTCAAGTAAGAGAAATTTCTGCGAAAGTCATGCTCCGAACGAGATAAGAGGGTGCTACCCTTACAGTGGGCATTCTTATCCTACACATCGTGGTGAGTTTCTGAGTTTCTGTCAAAGCCTTGTTAGGGGTTACGACGTCAAGTCGTCTGGGGCTCCTGTGGAATTTTTTGATGAGGAGGCTCAGCTCCACTATGCAGGTGTATCAGGCCCAATAACAACGCAGTCACCATAACTAGATCAAAGGACTTAGTGTAAGACGTCCTGTTATACTGCCATCAAGTAGTTTGTACCTTGTCGGTCAATCCACTCCCTTTGCTGAGAATAAAAATGAAGCCCCGATGGAATCGTCGCCTCCACTGTGTTTGTGGTCTACAAAATTGATATGAGGAATGTTGAAATTCTCTTAATCCGTGATGTGTGGTGTGGTCTTATAGGGCAACCAGCAGCATCCAACATATAACCGCCATTGTGGCAGTTTGCGGACTGCTTCTTACATGACATTTCGCTAGGCCGTGTTACTCCTAGATAGTCACACGGGGCGACACGTCAAATCCTGAAGTTGGTTGAGTCCTCGGTTCTTGAACTGATCAGTTCTTTAAGAAGTGACATGGAAATGCTCCCGCCCTCTCTTTCAGGAATGCTGTCGTGGCGAACCGGCACGGTGTTTTCAACAGCTGGCCCGGTGTACTTATGGGAAAGCCAAAAGTATGGGCTGGGAGCTGATTTGTTTAGAATTTGCTAGTGGACAAACTTCCGCCGCACATCACTTTTGGCGGCGAGTAATCCACCAGGGAAACAATTAGTTCTTGCCCGTCATGATTTCCTTGAAGCTTTTTATTTTGCAATTTACCAGGATCTGTATGAACCCTTGGTGCTAGACGATGCCTCCCTCCTTAATAATATTGCAATATAGCTTCCATCATAAAAGCCAGTGTGAAACTACCTTGACGAACCTGGGTTTCCGGTCCTCTCCCTTTTTATTCATACGCAGCGGCTTTTGTGTGACCGAATCTTTAAAGTTCAAAGACTTTTTTGAAATTCCTATCGGGAGCTTCCGTAGCGAGATTCTACCGTATTCAGTTTTTCCAGAATTTTCTGAAATATTAGGTCATAACTTCAGAAACGGACTCCTTGATCCTCATTTGCAAGCTTTTTAACCTTCATGGGCTCAAAACTTGGGATATCCGACAGAATCGTAGCCCGTTTTTAGCAGAACGGGTGAAATATCAATGGTACATCTTCTACATCTCGAGAGTTGGAGAAGTCGATAAAAGTTTACAATAATGATTGTATACCTCAAATGATGAATTTTACTAACACACGTCATTTTCACAGGCAATATTTGAATGTTATTTCCTTATTGAAGCTGTAAAAGCTTAGAAAGGAACAAGTCATCTTACCATACAAAGTCTTCTGAAGTAAGCAACTGTTTAGATATTGCTGGTCACAAATATTAGATAAAAGCGAAGTCGTTGGACAGCAGAAGTGAAAATTAATCCGGGTATAATCTCTCGGCATGAGAAGTATCCTTGCAATAGTGATTCGTGCACTCTACAAGAGTACATTGTGTATCGAACGTTGAGAACAAATGAATTCAAAGATGTGCCATTATTCAACAAGTTCGTACTGCCTATAGATGGCAAGTGAATCTAGAATTAAGCAGTGTGTGCTTTAAGTCCTAATTGTGCGAGAACTCAGTTTCCGCAGTCTGTTTGATTAGACGAGGCTTCAACTGGCACCGTATATTTTCCAAGTTCATACTACCGCTCCTGTCCTGAAGACCAGGCGAAGGTTCCTGAAAACCTGTCTAGTTTCCAGGCACTAGGTCGTCATGGGGGACAAAATATTTTTGTACCTGACGAAGGCTCTCTTTTAGCCAGCGGATCCTCAGAATTCTTATCTGCGATGTTCCTGAGATCACAGACCTCCATCACTGCTTTAACAGACCATGGAACCACTCCTACTTCCTCTTTAACTACCGAGAAATTATGTTTGATCGTGTCAATTCCACGCTTGTCGGGCTGGGGTATTGACTCAGCGAACTGACAGTCGATGAATGGAGTCAGCACGGTGACCTTGGCTGGAGTCGAAATTCTACTGTTCTTCTGTTGATGAGCAGTTTGTTCAGTTGACGCCTGTGGCACGTTTATCAAGAAATATTATCACCCCGCTGATGCTTTGTTAGATACCAGTGGCTTGTTGGAGGACCTGGGTAGGATGTAGGCGATGGCAGCGCTCCGTTGTTTCTTGTCACCAGACAAACCGTCTCCGACTCGAGCCATAGTTCTCTCTGCGGTCCTTCATCTCTTCCCATTGGCGGTGATCACAGACCTTTGTTTAACGCGTGCCTTTCTCAGTTCACTTTACTTCCTACAGTCAACAGTTTTATCTTCACTGAATTCGGCTAGTTGATGATGTTTCCTAGGACAGCCTCGACTTATGATATCCACGCTTAACTATTTAGAACTAATATTACTGGCTCTCGTGTTGCCTACTACGCGCCCGAGCTGTGCTTTCATGTAAGGTGGTTTCCTATTCTCAGCTGATATGGATTACTTTTCTGCTTCGTCATAATGGGCCTATTTGTGGACCTATCTGGACTTACCGTTCACATATGTCGAGTGAAGTGCCAAATTCCGAATCCATGCATTTTTCTGTTGAAACCAACGTTCACGTTACATTTAGACAGTAGTTGTCGAAGGACGCCAAATGGAACTTACATTTAAGTACAGTTTGGACGAGAAGTACCGTTCGAATTGCTGGTTAGAAGGCCACTCAGACCTATCTAGACAACTTTGATTGCTGGAAGGCTGAAGACGGCATTTTCTACATTCAATTGTTTTGCCAAGACTGGAAGATCAACTACTTAGACTACTTATTAAGTAGATAAATAATACATTCTCTCACTAGTAACTTAACATGAGAGAAACTAGTTTACAGGCACCATCACTTTGCTGCGTCAATCAATTCAGCGGCCCTACGGAGCGAGTTATGCCAGCTAGTATTCGAGGATCTAACTTTTCGTGCTTTTGAACACCTCATGGAACGGCCAAATAAAGACGGACAGAAAAATATAAGTAACTTGATATCAGCTTGCTGTTTCAAGCAGAATACGTAGCCAGTATAGATCAACCACTCTTCATTATCTGCCGTTTTCTCATCAGTTTGCTAAAAGCCGAAAGGTGCCTAATAACCTAGGTGACAGAAGCTGCAGCCATCTGACTTGAACAGCCGAACCATGTGTGCAAAAGAAACGGGTACAGCAATCACTACATTAATACATTACTAAAACTGGTTGGCTTTGATATGGACAGTTGAGGCAAGCAATCTCAACAGTCCGATTTTCATAAGACACACATTCGCCTACGCAGTAGTCATCATGAGCCGTCCCAGCGACCGGCTACTTTAAAAAACTTGTCCCTTGGTTAAATGATATGGATACGTGAAAAATTAAGGCCCAAGAAAGTTATACGGATGGTTATTCTCACTTCTTGAATCTGCCCATCGTCTCTGTCTAAACTGGATCTGCACAACAGTTTTAGCTCAGTGAGATACATGTTTGTCGCGTAGCTGTTGTCACAAGAGCTGCTGAATAGTCTTTATTAGTAAGGAAGCAACTACAAAGGCCCAGACTTCATCTGC